CAGAGTCCCCGAAGCAGCCACCGGCACCCAAGAAGGCACCCAAGCCCAAGGCGCCCAACAAGAAGGCGATGTGGAAGGGAACTCATGGAAGTCCCACGAAACGTCGCCGAGTGCATGAGGCTGAGGAATAGGAGTAGATCCATGCAGTGCAGTTCAACATGTGCACAGATCCGTTCAAGCATGAGGTGGGAAAAGCATAAGAACAACATGCTGCCAAGTGGTCATTGATTTGCACGTATTTACAGCTGCAGAGCGCGCGAGAGAGAGAGAGAGAGAGAGAGAGAAACCAAAAGGGACAACAGTCGACAGTGGCATGTCGTTGCAGCTGGCTGCTTGCTGTGTGTGCACACATGTTGGTTTGCAACATGCAGCGGTTGAAGTGCCATGTGCCACGGCATGCAGGCTCATGCGATCACTTGGGCATGCAGGCAAGCATGGGAGGCTATGCATGCACAGTGTACATTCAGGCATCCAGCCAACATGCATGCAGAGGAGGCATTCAGCCATGCAGGCACATATATGTCTGGCCAACCACCTAGCTAGCTGCCTTTCCTTGAATCCGATTTGGAGCCATGAAAACATGGGCAGTTGTGGTCCAGGGGGCCCAGGAGGCCAGGATTTTTTCGAGGCATCAAAATTCTAGTTTTCAGCCCCTCGCTGCAGGAGGCCGTGATGAAGTCCATCTGGGAGCTGGGGCTTGATGCCTCGGACATGATCCACAAGCCGAGTCCGGTCCTTATCACATGGAGTCTTTTGGAGGATGTATACTTTCTGTTCCCTCTGCATATAGGTCGAAAGAATCGGTGGCGGTGGAAGAACGAGAAAGGCAGCTTCCTCAAGTGGGGCAGTGCCGATGGATGGACCATCGGTGCTGAAGGCACATGACCAGCATCATGGTACACCTGTATAATGTACAACCGGCAGGAGAGGCTGCTTTGTTCATCCACGAGGACCGCGAGATCATGGAGCCCACGTCGCGAGGCCTCAATCCTTCTTTGTTGTGAGCATTGTATAGCTATAGATAAAAGTGTATATATCACCCAAAGTATTTAAGCCCTTAATTATTATATGGTTATCCAGATATGTACATGTAAATGAATACAAATAATTTATACACATAATAGGTCTATATTCCAGACTACTTGCATGGAGGCTGGAAGCACTGGGACGGCCAGGGCTACAAGCCCTGTGGCTTGTTCCTCGTGGATGCCTCCACGGTGGATGAGCCGGCAGCAGACTCAGGGATCTTTGTTCGAAGGGTTTTGGGCTATTCTTGGCTTTATTGAGGGTTTATATTGTATGTATATACATATATATAGGGCTGAGGATTAATAAAAGGGTTTATAATAGGGCATGTAATATAGGGTTCAGGGTTGAGGGTTTACAGTTTATATGTATATATAGGTCACTAATATAGAATATCTTAGTATATAAGCTTTGTCTCAGGGTTTGGTTTGGTCTTGTTCGCTGCTGCCTGCATGCAGGCTGGCTCGCACAGGGTGCATGAAGGCAGGTTCCGTTGGGGCACACGGTGCATGCAGCTCATCTATATAGAAATG